AATTCGGTGGATCAACTTCGGGGTGATTTGGGGGTGGGAGATTGGATTCTCTGCTGTCTCTGCACCAGCAGGGTTAACTTTTGTTAACCCCGGCGGCCCCCTCTTACCACGACTCTAGCTGCACCTCTGACTAGTGTCTGTGCATACCCTGTATGAAATTCAGGAAATCAGTTAAATGCAGCACAGTCAATGCGGAAGGGAGTCATTCCCCTTATACCAGTATTTTTTTCGCACTGTGTGTACCTTCATAGAAAGCTGAAAACCAACGTGTACCTTATATTGGGCATTACTTTCAATGACACCTCTCGCCATTCAGCAGATGTGTGTGCAAGTCAACAACAATAGCAGTGGAATGTGTCCGTGGTCGAACCAATGCAAACGATATGGACAGAGCTGTAGTGTGAGTAAAGTAAACTTCCCCCTGATACTCATCTCTGTAAATGAATATATTTTTAAAACACACGACGCGCAAAGGAGTCATTCTGTTTCGGCGTCACGGAAAAAGTTGTCGTTCATCGAATTGATGGTTATGTTTTATAATAATGGGCAACAGATTAAAATCTGGACAAATATAGGACAAGTTTATGACAAGTTGGTGACAGGTCATTCAAGTCATGTTTCTGAGATACGCGAAATATTTGGCATGATGAATACCTTCGAAGAAAGCAGTGAAAGCAGTGAAAATTCAACTTTACCGCAACAAAACTGCGTGCGCCCTATGCCATATTTGACTGCGTGCTGGCGTGACCAAACAGATATGAGTGCAAAAGTTCAAAATAGGCGAGATGACGATTTTCTGGTGGTTTCGCCGCAGATAACAACAACCGCGTATTCCGATGAATTTATGCATCAGTGCAGCATCAATTTACGTAAGCATGCAGCATCAATTTATGGAAGGTGCAGCATCAAATTATTGGTGTTCATAATTGTATATGCTCATTACACCATCATGAAATTACTATGCTTTAATATATTCTGTTTCACTTTAATGGCCTAAGATGTTAAAAAACAGAATAGTTTTGTCAGGTTTGTGATATTACGCCCATGCCAACTCGAAATAGATGTCTTTGTTTACTGAAGCGTCAGTCACGAGCTCATAAGTTCCATCTTTTGTGAATTGATTTTTTTCATTCTCTCACGGTCTTTTGCGATGGAATTTTTCAATCCCACCCTAGTTCAAAAGAGATTCTAGCTCCCTGTCTTCGCAAAATGACTTTTTTTGCGTTCTCGCGATATATTTGAGATTTTCAGGACCGATGTTGTCAATCTCCGTTTCCGTAAGCTTGCAGCAGTGCGTACAAATTGACAATTAACACGCGAACGGGTGGCCGGCTAGATACCCTTCGCTCGGGTGAAAGGGTCAATTTGACCCCCCTGAAATCTCGGAAACTAAGAAATTTAGAGATACCAAATTTACAGGGTGTCTTGACCTGTACGTCAACTCACTTAGGTCAAATTTTGAGCTTTTCAGGTCATGACCTTCAGGTCAAATAGGGTCAAACAAGGTCAAATTGCAGGTTGGTCTCTTAAGTGTCCCCAGAACCTAGGCAACTGTTTCTGAGCAAAATGTCATAATCTCATTTGAGGTCAGTGACCTTGTTTGACGTTTTGAAGGTCATGGCGAAAAAATCATACAAGACCGCCCTGAGTTTTGCATTTAAATAAGCGGCAAAGGTTATGCTAGGCAGTATGTTCCCAAAACAAAATGTCGACCCTGGTCATCTTAGGTCAGTGACCTCTTCTGACCTCTAAGAAGTCAATGGAAGATGTATAATGCGGCTCCTGCTGTCAATAAATTCGAAATGAGCGCCACAATCTATCTCATACAGCAAGCCCTAGAGTAATAAATCAGGTTGGTTTTGACCCCTGCATACCTGACCTTATGTCAATATAATTTGCTCATTCAATATTTGTGGTGCCTAAGCAAGCGTCTCAGAAATGCATGGCTTCGTCACACACTCCGCTATTGCATCAGATTGGACTATTCCCTAGAAATTGCCTTCGCTGAAACCATGGCCTGACTTTGACCTGCCACAGGTCAGCGACGTTGCAAAGTAAATCTAAATTTTTGGTGTCAAACGATCTGCTATTTAATTTCCTACAGTATGCAAAATTTGGCGCGGCTACGCTGCGCCGTTCGGAAACCATTGTGGAAAAACCTTTGGGGGGTCAATTTGACCCCGACCCGAGCGCGTGTTAAACACTAAAGCATGATGAAAATCCTGTGGGAAGCACTGAACTTGTCTTCACGCACACGGCAATGGTACAAATGATTGTGCTAGGGAAGTTCATACTTGTTTTTATTCGCCATGATTTAGGCAAAGCACCTGTTGCGCCCTTTGGATCACATGCGTGTCAATGCCGCTACGATACCAATGCAATGGCCGCAGCTGCGTGTTAAGTGACAGGAAGGTGACTAAGTGACTAAGGTTTAGGGCGTGACTAGGGCGTGTTAAGTGACTAGGGCTTTTCGCTTAAAACAACAATGATTTAAGAAATATTCGTCTTTTGTATAATGACCGCGTTAACGTGAGATTAATGCCTCCAAATGTACAAGTGAAAATTTCCGAATGTCAGCGGTACGCGGGCTTTTATTTGAAATCAAGTTAAAACCGCTTGGCCTTCTTTTGCAAGCCACGACTTACCAGCGATAATGACTTATTACGAGATAATAGTTATGACGATGTGGCTCGCTGCTCTAACAAAGTCGATGATAATGTCTGTTTTTGATCCACTTTCAATTTGCTGAGGGCCTTACATCGTTGAGAGACAATGTTGATGACATAATGGCCGTAAAGCAGACGTCTCTGATGACCGAATCGAAGTGAGTCTCCCATCTGTATGCGGTCTGTTGCAGTAAGAATGATCACCCAAAATAGTAAAACTCTCCGGACACATAAACTGCGACGCCGGCGACGCATTTTTTAAAAAATCACCGTGCAACGTCGCATCCACTGACTAATAATGTTGCCCCGCCCACTTCCACCACTGCCACCACAACTACTTTTGCTATCTTTTATACCTCTGCTATGACTAATATTACTAATGCTACTACTACTGCTGCTACTTCTACAATTTTTACAAGTCGTAGACAAAAGAAGAAACGTAGTAGCAGTAGTTGCGGTTGTTGTGGTTGTAGTAGAAGAAATAGTACGCCCACCATGACCACGACCACCACGACCGTGACCACGACCACCACGACCGTGACCACGACCACGAGAACAACGACGACGACGACGACGACGACGACAACGACCACCACCACCACCGCCACCGCCACCGCCACCGCCACCGGCACTGAGCACTGCTTGAAACGCAAACTCCCACAATTCAAATTGATTCTTGCTTTAGATTGCCGCGTAACTAGGACCTCCTGGCATAGTGAAGGGTAGTTATTTTCAGCAAAAAAAACGCATTGTACCGCACCTCAAGCTCATCATCATCATATAAACGAATGGAGGGGCCTCCCATTTTCATGTCAAGGGAAGTCCATTTCGCCATTTCTCAAGTGATGCGAGATATTCGCATTCATTCAACCAGCGCCTGTAGTTTCCAATCAGAACTGATGGTATGTAGACACCTACTGATCAGTACTTGGGAATCTCTCAAGCCTTTCTAATGTCACACCATGCCGGCGGCCCACTCCAATAACTGCTCCCAGAATACCCTAATTGCGCGCAGTCTGGTGGATCTGCACGTGGGGATATTACTGGTGACTGCTACCTCCGGCGGTATAGAACACGATTATATAGCGAACGGCTCCAGAAGGTCGACGTCAGCCTGCTGTAGAAACTGGGTAACCCGGTCCGTCCGTTAATTTTCCCCGTAAAGCATCGCACCCGGGGAACGGATGCAGTCGTCGACGTCGCTTAGAGACCGTAATTTGCTGGTGTCACTCATAACAAGCTGGGCCTTAGCCGCGCGCGACGAAAGAAGCCGACAGAACGGCGATTCTGCTGGATGCAGGACCGCTGACATGGAACGATAGTATCCTAGGCCTCCTGGATACCATGTGAGCGCACTGCTATAACATGGCCCATAGTGGTGTGTGACCCACTGTGACTGTGCCCCTCAGGTGGCAGTGTGTGACCCACTGTGACTGTGTCCCTCAGGAGGTGGTGTGTGACCCACTGTAACTGTGCCCCTCAGGCGGCAGTGTGTGACCCACTGTGACTGTGCCCCTCAGGTGGCAGTGTGTGACCCACTGTGACTGTGTCCCTCAGGGGGTGGTGTGTGACCCACTGTGACTGTGCCCCTCAGGCGGCAGTGTGTGACCCGCTGTGACTGTGTCCCTCAGGGGGTGGTGTGTGACCCACTGTGACTGTGCCCCTCAGGTGGCAGTGTGTGACCCACTGTAACTGTGTCCCTTAGGAGGTGGTGTGTGACCCACTGTGACTGTGTCCCGCAGGTGGTGGTGTGTGACCCACTGTAACTGTGTCCCTTAGGAGGTGGTGTGTGACCCACTGTGACTGTGTCCCTCAGGAGGTGGTGTGTGACCCACTGTAACTGTGCCCCTCAGGCGGCAGTGTGTGACCCACTGTGACTGTGTCCCTCAGGGGGTGGTGTGTGACCCACTGTGACTGTGCCCCTCAGGTGGCAGTGTGTGACCCACTGTAACTGTGTCCCTTAGGAGGTGGTGTGTGACCCACTGTGACTGTGTCCCGCAGGTGGTGGTGTGTGACCCACTGTAACTGTGTCCCTTAGGAGGTGGTGTGTGACCCACTGTGACTGTGTCCCTCAGGAGGTGGTGTGTGACCCACTGTAACTGTGCCCCTCAGGCGGCAGTGTGTGACCCACTGTGACTGTGCCCCTCAGGTGGCAGTGTGTGACCCACTGTGACTGTGCCCCTCAGGCGGCAGTGTGTGACCCACTGTGACTGTGCCCCTTAGGAGGTGGTGTGTGACCCACTGTGACTGTGCCCCTCAGGCGGCAGTGTGTGACCCACTGTGACTGTGTCCCTCAGGTGGCAGTGTGTGACCCACTGTGACTGTGTCCCTCAGGTGGTGGTGTGTGACGCGCTGGGCCTGCCGTTCCGAGACGAGTCTGCGGACGCGGCCGTCTCTGTGGCCGTGATCCATCACCTGGCCACCACCGAGCGCCGCGTGCGCGCCCTCCGCGAGCTGGCCAGGGTGCTCCGGATCGGGGGGCGGCTCATCGTCACCGTCTGGGCCATGGAGCAGCGCACCAGGAAGGTACGCAACCCATGCCTGCCGCGGTCCTGCACTGCATTACGGCAACAGTGCAGCAAAAAGTACCCACGGCCACCGCATCCCTGCGGGTCGGCGAGCATGAGCCAGGCACTTAGCACTCATGATTATGTCAAAGCTGGCGGCGGCTTTAAGCGCCGCCCGGGTAAATTGATTTTTTGTAGATGTACTAGAAAGCATAGCAAAAGGAATCTTAATCGTCTGTTCTTCGAAAAATAGATGACAGCTGATAAGTCATGTAGATTAGACGGTAGTAATAGCCTCATTGTTCGGAGAAAAACCAGGAGAATGAAGGTATATCGAAACAATAGCAGAAGGCGTGCAGAACAAGAGCAGAACACTTCTCTATTGTGAACACTTCTGCTATAGCTAACTGCTGAGACTTGCAAAACAAAAGCAGAACACTTCTGAAATTTCTTTCGATAAAGGCATGCTGCCGAAATATCAATGCATCTATATCTCCATTTTCTTGGTTTTTATTCCATGAATGAGGCTATTACTACTGTCTCATCTACGTGAATAATATTCCTTGCAAATCCACTTAACAACTGATATGACTGATGATTTATAAGTAAAACGAATTATTTACTGATAAATCCTCAACCTTATTTGTTACATAGCTGTTGTTGGAATTATACCAGCAGGTGTGTCTTTCCCACTCGTGTGATCAGTTGGTCCCGCCATGTCCGGACCCCGCGTGGTGGGCAAGCGCCACATACACCCGTGCACGGCATGACCATCACGCACGTGGGGCGTGTGCAGTTTGAGTCGCAGGACGTGCTGGTGCCCTGGGACCAGTCCCACTCGCTCAGCAGCACCGAGAGGTCGTCGGCGGCCGAGCCGGAGGCCGTGTCCACCGCCTCCGATGATGACCTGCTCGCCTACCACGCCTTCACCCAGAACAGTGACAGCGACTCGACCAAGTCGACCAGGTCAGTTGCAGCCGACCGGTCTGCGGTCAGCGGTCAGCGGTCAGCGGTCAGCCGTTAGCCGAGGTTAGCGGCCGCCGAGTGATGCACGGAGAGTCGGCGGCGCCAGGAGCGCGGCGTTCTGGGCACGTAGCGGTCCGCTGGGTGTTAGACGCTCAGGGCCGGATGTCAACATGTTCCAGATGCACAGAGGGGCTGTGTGTGCGCCTGGTCTAAAACGTACACCGGTCTTCCCCAGGCGACCAGCGTGGAGATGCTGTCAATGTCTGGCGGGTGATTTAGAGGGAACATGCTGGTTTTGAAGGTTCAGAGCTAAACTCAGACGCGAGCCGGATTGCTTCCATAACTCATGGCAACGCGCACGCATGAAACAGCGCCACCAAATTCGGAGTTGGCTTCGATCTGACAGATGACAGCACACTCGCTGGCAGTGTGCCGGCCAGCCGGCCACTTTGGCCATCCAATGAGAGTGGCATTCCCAGTACGGTGTCAGCGCGCCGCTGCCGAGCAGATAACGACATCCGCCACCGCTAGGGCTGGGTGTGGCTGCTGTCGGCCACCGCCCCGCCCGCCCAGCGCGGTCCCACCCCCGGGAACGGACGTACCGCGTGCGGCCGTGCCGGCATTTCTCGTAGCTGACCGTTCTTGGTCCCTCCGGGGGTGAGGAACGACGGCGCCGTTACGGGCGTCGTAGCATGCGCCAGTTAATAGGTGGCGACCCCGTCTCCGGGTGTCGCTTGGTAGGCAGGCGGGCGCGCTCCCAGCTGTTCATTGCGGCATAGCGCTGCCATCCCTCGCTGGGCCGGTGAACGTGGTGGGCCCACCCGCGTCTCTCCCGGCGCGGCCGGTGGTGCGCGGCCGGCCGGCCTCCGCCGCCTCCACGGTCAGCTGGTGCCCCTCGTTATGCAGGTAACAGCCGGCCGCCGCCTGGGCCGACGAAGCCTGACGAACGAGCCGCGCGGGCGTCGTTAGTGGTGGCGGCAGAGGGCGGGCGGCGGCCGCCGGTCAGGCGCCTCGCAGATTCACGGTGTCTCACCAATCCTACAAGCAGATCGTTCGTGAGGGCACACACGCAGATCTGCCAGTACCAACACCTGAATACCTCAATGGAGGAGTCCCGGGAGGACGGTTTTGCAACTTCCCTGCACTTTTCTCTTACCAGATCGTTCTCTCAGCCGTGTGTATTGGGGCTGCTTTGGACAAAAGCTTGTATGAAAGTGATATGTACGATGGTGTGCTAGATTTATCTTGAGTGCATTGGTCTGCCGCACTGTGTCGACATCTTGCAATCCGCTCAGAGAACAGCATTTAAGAGTCAAGATCCGTGCCTTCCATGCGGGAGCGTGCTCCAACATCAGCCGTGTGGCAGCTGGTGCGAGACGCCGTTTGCCGGCTGACACTGCTGGGTGCTGGGGGAGAGACGGGGCGTGCAGATGACGGCGGGGTGGCGGCAGGTTTCAGAGCCGTCGCGTGGGCCGGCGGCCGCGGCGCGCGCGGGCCATCGACGCCACCATGGCCAGCTCCTCTCAGAGCTCCTCCGACCTCTCGTCACCGAGCGAGTCGTGCTACAGTTTCGTGCGGCGGGCGCTCCAGGTGAGGGCCCGTCTGATACCGGTGACCGCACCCTGCCGGCATCGGCTCCAGGACGCGCACGACTCCTCAGCTGCGACGCCACCACCGAACTACAGATCGCTGTCAAGAAACTGGGAAACGGTTGGGGGCTAGAGCCGCAGTCGTGCGCACGATGTGCTTCAGACGGGGCAGTAACTTGAAATCAGGATTTCAACTGCGCAATCGATTTGAGTGACACCTTGTGTAGCCACACATTCGTCCATGGCCGCGGTATGCGTGGATCGTACTTGGGAGGGTGTACAGTAGGCACCAAATCGGACGTTCATCAAACCATATTAGCATGCAATGCTCAGACAATCAACTAAACCGCACCCCGTCCTCTAGCGAATAGCGACAGTGAAAAACTGCGTCATTCTATCGCGTGCGCTGGTGTATCATTATCCACTCATTATCGATTGTCGGCATAAATATTTCCGGATCCAGTCATTGTAAATGATAGCCCTTTTTTATTTTTGCATTAGATAAGTGGTGCACAGTTCGATTCATTGCATCGTTGATTCAGTTTGTTCATTGTATCTTTAGCCTACAGTTCACTCATTGCATCATTGATTTACACTTCAGTCAATGTATCATTGATTCATAGGGCACTATGTATTCACCGCACTTTTCATTTGTTTTTCATGCATTGCGTTTTACACCCTAGCAGGCATTTGTGATCCATTCATTATAGCATGCACGCATTAATTGGTGTTTCAATCAATGTGCATTTGCGGCCGTTTGTTCTCGCAGAAGCTGGCTCGGCGTCACGAGATGGAGCAGGGTCCGTCACACCTGCTCACCGCACGCCCGAGCATGCTGGACGCCAAGGCGGAGAACGCGGCGGCTGACGACCACCAGCTGATCGAGATCCGCCTGGACGATGACGTCACGAGCCTGGAGGAGGCGCGGCGGCGGAGCCACACGCTCGACGGCGAGCTGCCGGCGGCCGGCCACCAGCCGCTCAACGCTGGCAAGTCGCGCAGCGTCGGCGACGTGTGGAGCCTGCTGACGGCGTCGATCCGCGCCGGCCGCCGGTCCGACGGCGCTGACGGCCCGTGCGCGCCGCCGGCGCCGGCCGACCGACCGCACAGCTGCCCTTTCGACGGCGCCCGGCTGGAGCGTTCCGAGAGCGGTGCGCCACTCTTCGCGACGGCGCACGCCGCGCGCCCCAGGAAATCGGTCACGTTCTCGACGAGGTCGTTGACGCTGCCGCGCGAGCGGCCGGCTGCCAGCGCCATCACGGAGAAGTCGAAGAGTGACAGTGTGCTGGACGCACGCGTGCGCTCGAGCGAGCTGGCACGGGGTTCGCTGACCACCGTGCCGGAAAACGCGGCCCGCGAGGCTGGCGAGGAGGCGGCCGAGGTGCCGGTCCGCCACAAGCCGGCACTCGTGCGCCAGCAGTGCTGCCAGGAGGCGCCCCAGCAGCCTCGCCAGCAGCCGGCCGGCCCGCCCGTGCTGCCCGTCATCAAGCAGACATCCTTGAATGAGAACCTGATGCGGCGGGAGAGTAGTGATGAGCGCGAGGCCATCCAAGCGCAAATTCGGAAACAGCGAAGTCTCAACGAGAATGCCATTTACGGCAAGCTGGCGCACACTCAGCCGGTGCCTCGCGGGGGTTTCCTCGCCAATTATAAACGGTTGAGGATTATCAGGGATAGTTTGGGTAAGCTGAGCGAGAGCTTGGAGCGAATCACGGAGAACGAGCCGCCAGGCCTGTCGCTGAAGAATGGGATGGTTCAAATGGAGCGTCAGTGGACTGATGAAGGTGTGCTTCCAACAGAAAACGAGAGCACCTGTGCCATTCAGCTGGATCATGCCCCGAAACAGGAACGCCCAGATGGCGTACCTGACGGGGCAGAGCCAGAAATCACCAGCGACGAGACACCTTCTGTAAGAATCACCACGGACATGGACGATGCGCAGCCTGCGGATCCGGTTTCCAAAGCCGGTCTGGTGCCGCCCTGCGCCCGGCTGGACCGGCGCTCGCTGTACCGCTACTGCTCGCGGGAGCGCAAGGCCTCGCGCGAGGAGAGCTCGGACAGCTCCAAGGAGAGCAGCTTCCAGAGCGACACCAGCCTAGACTCGGAGGACAGTTGCGTGTCCGTCATCTTCGTGCCGAAGCCGGGGCAGGCGGAGAGCGGAGCCGAGCCGCGCAGCCGCTCTCTGTCCAGCGAGTCCTCGGACAGCTCGTCGCCACGCTCGCCGCGTTCCATGACGCTGCCGCCGTCGCCGACGCGCGCGGCAGTGCCGCTGTCGCGGCTCGGCGCGCTGCGCGCCCTGCCGCGGCCCGGCGCGCCGGTCGGCGCCGCGCAGGGCCGCTTCCCGCTGCTGGACCCGCCGGCAGGGCACGGCGCGGCGCCGCCGGCGGCCACTCAGCTGGACGTGCCGACTGCCTGCCGGCCCGCCCGGCTGAGGCAACCTTCCCCGCCGGAGCCGCCCGCCTGCCGCCAGCCCACCGGCGCCCACTGTGCTTGGGTCACCTGCCAGGCGGGCGTCGACAACAACAACAGCTCGCGCACGCTGCCCTGCGCCGGCCAGGGTGAGGTCGGCTGCGCCCTGGCCAGCACGCTGGCGGCCGCCGGCCCGCCAACTGAGAGCGTCATCAACAATAACGTCCGCGTGGAGATGTGTCCGCCGGCCGGGCTGGCAATGCTCGACCGACCCTGCCTCAACACCACTAATGAGGCGTCCACGCCGACCGGCATGGAGCCGGTGCCGCGGCCGGGCGTCAGCGGGCTCGTCTCTTCGCTGGTCCTTGACGAGAGCATGGAGATCATTCGCCGACCGGGCGTCCAGGGCGTGCGCGGCGCGGCGGCCGCGCGCCGCGCCGCGCCCTCCCTTCTCACCTTCGAGGTGTTCAACCCGGAGACGGACGACCTGGACAGCGAGAGCTCGTGCGCCAGCAGCAGCGCCAGTAGCGCCTGTAGCGTCGTCAGTCAGCTGGCCGACTGGCCGACGGCGCAGGAGCTGCTGGAGCTGGACCGCGAGATCGAGCTGCAGGCCTGCCACGGCACGGAGCTGGACCGCGAGACAGAACTGCACGGGCCGGAACTGGACCGCGAGACAGAGCTGCGCGGGCCGGAGATGGACCGCGAGACAGAGCTTCATAGGCCGAGACTGGACCACGAGACAGAGGCCGACCGTGAGACAGAGCTGCGCGGGCTGGAGCTGGACCGCGAGACAGAGCTGCGCGGGCCGGAGCTGGACCGCGAGACAGAGCTGCACGGGCTGGAGCTGTACCGCGAGACAGAGCTGCGTGGACTGGAGCTGGACCGCGAGACAGAGCTGCACGGGCCGGAGCTGGACCGCGAGACAGAGCTGCGCGGACTGGAGCTGGACCGCGAGACAGAGCTGCGCGGACTGGAGCTGGACCGCGAGACAGAGCTGCGCGGACTGGAGCTGGACCGCGAGACAGAGCTGCGCGGACCGGAGCTAGACCGTGAGACAGGGCTGCGCGGACCAGAGCTGGACCGCGAGACAGAGCTGCGCGGGCCGGAGCTAGACCGCGAGATCGAGGTGCTGATGTTCCAGGAGGCGACACGGTCGGCACAATCCGGGCCAGGTGAGGATTAAGCCCCATGCACATGTTTGCCAGCGTGGCGATGTGTGGGCAAATGCCGCCACATGATATTTGACAAGGCTTCTGGTGCTTAGATGCTCCAGACGTTTTTCAAAGTACGGACTGAAGTATTCCCCGAGTATGACACAGGAATCTACATCCCATTACAAGTCTGCTTGTGCTGCTTTTTATCCATTCTCTTTCGCCTCTCGCGCATAAAACACACACTGCGTTCTTGTCAGCAGGTCATCGGGTGATTACTAAAGATGCAAAGGCCGTCAGTCAGATGTGGCCTACGTTCTCACACCGCTGACGCCGTTTCCAGGTCCTGACCCGTCAGGAATTGGGGCGCTCGTCACCGCCGGTCATCCCCTGCCGGCGTCAGCAGCCAGCGTATTCGACACTGGCAGCATGGTGACCAGCGCATCGGAGTCCGCGGCCCGCAGGACTAGTGACGTCGCCGGGTGTACTGCCGTGCATTGGGTGTCGCCTCGCGTGGCAGATGACGTCTCTTGTGACGTGTCCGGTCTCGTGACGTCTTGCGAGTTGGGGAGCGACCTTTGTGCTCGTGCAGCCCTCTCCGGTGACGCCTGCATCCCCGACAATCAAGCTTCTCTCGCGGAGACTCCTGGCGCGGTGGCTGACGCCTCTATGGTGACGTCACTGCAGCATGCGACGCTCAGCCATGCTGCCACTTCAGCAGCGCACAAACACATGGCATCGCTCGTCACTGATGTCAGCGTGGACACATGTCAGCACGTGGCGGCGCCCAGCGACGGCACCTGTCTGGAAAAATCCCAGCATCCGACGGCGAGCAGCGGAGCAGGCGGGAGCACGGGCACCTGTCCTGAAACGGTCGCACCGCCGGTTAGTCCGCGCGGTCGCCGCAAGGTGACGCTGGCGCGGCTGGACGCGCCGGCGCTGGCTCAGGTGCTGGAGGAGGTCGAGCCGACCCGACAGCCGGAATTACGGCATAGGATCGCTGGCCTGGCAAGCCGCGGTGCCTCCAGCCTGACTGACGGACCTGGAACAGTCAGCCTGACAGGTGGGCGGGCCTCTAGTCTGAGCTCCGACTCCAGCCTCACAGATGGAGCCAGGGCAGTTAGCCGAACAGGCGTACGGGCTTCCAGCCTGAGCTCAGGCTTCAGTCTAGCAGACGGATCCAGAGCATTCAGCCTAACAGGCGGACGAGCCACCAGCCTTAGCTCAGGCTCCAGCCTGGTAGACGGAGCCAGGACAGTCAGTCTGACAGGTGGACGAGCTTCCAGCCTGAGCTCAGGCTCCAGCCTGGTAGACGGAGCCAGGGCAGTCAGCCTAGCAGGCGGACGAGCCTCCACCGTGAGCTCAGGCTCCAGTTTGGTAGACGGAGCCAGGACAGTCAGCCTGACAGGCGGTCGGGCCTCCAGCCTGAGTTCCGGCTCCAGCCTGACGGACGGACCGAGGACAGTCAGTCTGACAGGTGGACGAGCTTCCAGCCTAAGCTCAGGTTCCAGCCTGGCAGACGGATCCAGAGCAGTCAGCCTAACAGGCGGACGGGCCTCCAGCCTGAGCTCAGGCTCCAGCCTGGTAGACGGAGCCAGAACAGTCAGCCTAACAGGGGGACGAGCTTCCAGCCTGAGCTCCGGCTCCAGCCTGACGGACGGACCCAGGACAGTCAGTCTGACAGGCGGCCGCGCCTCCAGCCTGAACTCCGGCTCCAGCCTGCCCGACGGAGCCAGGGCAGTCAGCCTGGCGGGCGGCCGCGCTTCTCTGGCCTCCAGCCTGAGCTCTGGCTCCAGCATGTCAACGTCGGATAGCTCGCGAGCCGCCAGCCTGTCCGGCTCGAGCGGCCCGGAGCGGACGAGCAGCGTGGAGAGCTGGGCAGCCGGCCCGCCCGGTGCCGCCGCCGCCAGTGCCGCCTGCCGGCGCGTGCCGCCACTAGCGCCGCCTCTTACAGCCGCTCTCCTCTTCGACCGCGCCGAGGCGGCCGCGGTGGCGGTGGCGGAGGCGGCGGATGCAGCAGCGACGACAGCGGCGGCGGCGGCGTGGGAGGGGGAGGAAGAGGAAGGGGAGGAGGCGGGCGGACGGGAGTCGTCGGGCGGGTCGCCGCCGTCGAACCAGGGCGGGGCATTCGGCCACCACCGCTACTACCACGTGTTCCGCGAGGGTGAGTTGGACCGGCTGATCGAGAAGTACGTGGATAATCTGCATATCATCTCATCCTACTACGATCACGCTAACTGGTGTGTCGTGGCCGAGAAGGTGCAGGTGTGGACTATCTAGCATGTTGGGCGGCCGCCTCCGAGTCAGCCTACGTCCCACGGCCCCGGTGTTGCGGTGGCAGGATTCGTCAGCACTGGCTAGATGGTGGCGTTGTCCCATGTGGATCAGAAGAAGAAACGGAACGTGAAGCGACACGGGTATCCTCAAACAAATTTCAAAGGTCTCAGCAACTGAAATAACTGAGCATATACACGATTGTGCCAGCTTCCGTTGAATCAACGGGAATTTCTGTTCGGGACCCGGTTTTAGACGGAGTTTAACCGGTCAGGTCACGCTTGCCATACCGATAACCGGGCTGCTCGGCCATGCGCTGTGTCTCTGCTGGTAAGATCCAATGCGTCTTCGTTATAAATTGTGGTCATGCTGTACGGCGCGTGAGTAAATGCTTACACTGATTGAAGGATGTGGGGCCGAAAAATGGCTGGAGCCTCCGAAAAATGACAATAAGCGGCTGGAATCCTGTGGTACCAAGAGCAGGATGCTCAGCATGAGCGCGTGTCCCAGCTAGAGATATTTTACGCTGAGAGCTCCCTTTGTGTTTACCCTCCAGCGTTGTCAGTTAACTATACCATTGCACACATAAGCCAGGCGTTAGAGGAGATACGCAATAACTTGAGCATAAACATCACGACGCTGAGGGCACGGACATGGGGTCGCCTACTGGACACTCGCCTACACCTACGCCTACGCCTACGCAGCCTGGCATCGCAAGCCGACCTCAGCCTTTTAACAGACCTGGCCTCAGGGCTCAGTTCCTCATTGGCAAAGTACCGTTACCTATGACGTCGCCAGTGTCCACGTCACAAGCAAGCGATTGTACCCCAAGATGTAGGATTTGTTGTGACGCACCTTCCTTTGGCGTTATAGATTATTACTTGTAGATAGCATTTGGCAATGGAGAAGGTGGCCGCGGCCTTTTTAAAAGACAACATGACACACGTCGTGGCGCGCCCTGCTATGGAGACCCAACGACTGCAGACGTCATATCAGCGCTCAGGAATCATGGTGCAACCGGGGTTCGAACACGGGCCCTCCATGTGGGAACTGATGACGCCACCACTCGGTCGTTATGCCCCCGGCCTAGGGCGCCACGTCACGTGAACGACGGAAGAGACACGCCGCCCGGGTAAGCACATATCCGGTCATCAGCCCTCCCTAGCACAGGCGGCGCGGAGAGTGGCCGCCGTCCAAAGCGCCCGGTGACGCAAACGTCCGAGTGGTCGGGACTCGGAGCGTTCGATTCCCGTCACAGGAAGCTTCGCCCGAACATTTCGGTATCGCTGGCACCGGTTTCCATCCATTGGGCAATACAAGGATATTTTGAGTTCTTACGATGGCGCAACCGAGGTTCATTGCACCAGGAGGTAATGTCTAAGCAACACGCCAAGTAACTAATGGAACACTGAAAAAACAATAGTTAGAGAGCATGTTGCAACCGTGGCTTGACATCTCCATGCAAACGGCACCTCCTGGTGCATTATGGGGCAGCCATTTTCAACATAACCCAAGATACGCCAAAACAAGGAGGCTTCTCAACATACGTGACGAGCCTCCCTGGACCCCAACGGCACCCTCTGCCGATCGCAACTCACAAGCATAGCCGACGGACGGGGGGGGGGGGGGCATCGTGCGTTGTCGATGCTGTGTTAACCAGACGTGGGCGTTATAGAGCTGTGCCTGGCGGTTAAGATACGACAGGTCACATGCAGCAATAGCAGAGGTCAGGCTCCGTTCGCAGCAGGGATCATGTACGCCCACCTAGGTCCACGTCTTACCTGGGAGTGTGCTACACAATAGCAGAGGCCAGGCTCCGTTCGCAGCAGGGATCATGTACGCCCACCTAGGTCCACGTCTTACCTGGGAGTGTGCTACACAATAGCGTTTTCGGTCGGGCTTAGTGCTGGCGCCCAAATTCATGAAAGTTTCTTGAAAATCGACTGGGGACTGTCTGGTCATTTCAGTCAGGGAAATCAATTGGTTCCATCGTTAAGCGTTTGCGATGAATGCGCTCTGTGGTTCAAACACGCAAATCTGTGGCGGATAGTGGTCACAGACGACTGGGTTGGACGCCTGTGCAGTTTTCATACCCAACCTCCGTTGTATCGTTGTCAAACCTGTCCACCTCTGTTGAAACTCCGGATTCGCGATAGGGAGAGACCGTTATAAAAATGGTGGCATTGATCACTATTCAGCTAGGTGGTGTCATCACTATTGGCCGGAACTTGCTGGGAATGGACTCATCAGCAAACCCTAGGACGGGGAATGAGTTCTAAAGCCACACAAATTACGTGCCACAACAAAATGGATTTGCACTCCGCGGTGTCACGGCGCAAGAGCATCCAGTGCCGATGTTTGTTCTTTGTTTTTGTCGACATCCGTAACTGTGACATGCTCAATCGGTTGGTTCAAAACACATACATTGCCTATAGCCGACAACTTGCAATCAGACGGAAAGTCTCTGAGCCCCTGGCTTTTCGGCATTGCGAGTTTTCATGCTGAGGGCAACTTACCTTCGGTTTACCGGCATACTGGCAGGATAATATACTGGGCAACGGTCAGGATACATTATGAGAAAGCCTAGCCTTCAAGCGGCGTTCATGGCCACGAGTCACTCACTCCACCGCCTGTTTAGATAGGGTCAACAGCTGTCTCACAGCTGACAGCAGCTGTCTCACCACTGACAACAGCTGTCATACTACTGACAACAGCTGTCTCACCACTGATAACAGCTGTCTCACCGCTGACAGCATCTGCCCTACCGCTGACATCAGTTGTCTCACCACTGACAACAGCTGTCTCACCACTGACAACAGCTGTCTCACCACTGACAGCAGCTGTCTCACCACTGACAACAGCTGTCTCACTACTGACAACAGCTGTCTCACCACTGACAACAGCTGTCCCACCGCTGACAGCAGCTGTCTCACCACTGACAGCAGCCGTCTCACCACTGACAGCAGCTGCCCCACCACTGACAGCAGCTGTCTCGCCACTGACAACAGCTGTCTTACCACTGACAGCAGCTGTCTCACCACTGACAGCAGCTGCCCCACCGCTGACACCAGCTGCCCCACCGCTGACAGCAGCTGTCTCACCGCTGACAACAGCTGTCTCACCGCTGACAGCATCTGCCCCACCGCTGACATCAGTTGTTTCACCACTGACAACAGCTGCCCCACCGCTGACAGCAGCTGTCTCACCACTGACAGCAGTTGCCCCACCCCGCGTGGTGGAGCCGCTGCTGCCCCACCGGTGGCTGGCGACCGCCAGGGGACTCGTGCCTCTACGACACTACACGACCACTGCATCATCGGCTCAATTGCCGTGGAGGAGGATGCGGACCTTTACGACCTGGTGCGTCCGGATGGCCTGTTGGGAAGGGATTCGGGCACGGCGGGCACCGGGGCCAGCGCGTCGGCTGTGCTGCTCGACCTGCCATTCGCCTGATAGGCGGCGAACGACAAGGACGAGAGGCAAATAAAGAGGCAAACGACGCCGCAACCGAGGAAGGGGCCCATGGGGCCTTAGCCCCCCCCCCCCCCCCCGCCCGTCTGGTCACGTTTGAGCGCGGTTCTTTTCCACGTCACTACTCTGGATGATTCTGGAATCTGGTAATCAGGAAAGCTATTTTTGTTTTAGATATCACAGACGCCGCGATGGGTAGTGACCCGTAGAGCCTAACAAGGCCGGCGGAAATAACAAGTAAGTAGTAGTTGGTAAGTAAGTAACTTAATAACAAGGCCGGCGGAAATAACAGGTAAGTAGTAAGTGGTAAGTAAGTAATTTAATAACAAGGCCGGCGGAAAGCCGAGTGAATTCATGTGACACGCTGTTAGCTGAAACAGCTGTTTAACAGCTGAAACAGCTGAAACAGGCACCAGGACAAACCAACATCGGTAGCTCATTGATGTGCTAGGTGCAGCAGTTATCAAGGTTGTATGGTCTGTTACTACGTTGACGGTTCACGGTCCTGTCAATGGATCTGGGACTCGCGCGTTAGAATACCCCACCCCCCTTCCCCTATCCCAAGTCATGATAACCCCGTCTCCCCGCCCACCAGTCGCAAATACTTGCTGCGTCCCTGGAGGCAAGCGGTGGGGGAAATGAGGCAGGGGACGAGCGGCAGGGAGCGAGAGGTAATCATTGGTGCACGCAGAAGGCACAGGTGGCATGGGCCCCTCCCCTCTAACAGGAAGAGCCCGATTTGCAGCCCGAAGGGCTCTCACTGCCCCACTGCCCCCGGCCCGCAGTGCCGGGATATCAAGTGTCTTTCAGAGGGATCTTTGCACCGATTGGGGTCCCCCGAGTCGATGAATTCAGGCGCCATCAGTACCGAACAGTCGGCTCCGCATCAGTTTGAGCCGGAGTGCCCATTTCCGAACCATGGGCAAGGCTGGACCTGCAGTTTACGTTAGTCGGCGCTCTTAAGTCGATGAGGTGCCTCTGTGTCCGCCAGGGACCCCTGTGTCGATCAGGCGCCCTTGTGTCGACCAGGGGCCCGCAGTGCCTATCAGGGGTCCAGTGTTGGTGAGGGGCCCCGAGACGCCCAGGGAAGCATGTGCTATCGCCGGAATGGCAATCTGTAGGCACCCCGCTCTGGGGTCAAAATGACCTCTGGCCCTGCGTCCCCTGGCCGGGAACGATTAGTTGTTCCCTAGTATACTACCACGCATCCCCTTACCCGAAAAAGGTAATGGGTATCATTTCTGCTCAACAGGGGGATTGAAATAAGGCCAAAACTGAAAAGGCTGTCCCATGTTTTACTTAAAGACGTCCATCCTTTCGCTGAATCGGCTAGTGAAATGATTTGCATAAACGAGTTTTGGACCTGCGCGCTTACAATCTGAGAAGCAAGAACACCGGTGGCCGGGGTAGCAGCTTCCGTCAAACCGACAAACAGAATCGCTACATTTCCTATGTCAGTTCCCCCAACAGATTACAGCACCGGTTCGCGGTGATGAAAATGCCTCCCGTTCCCCACTTTTACCAATCCAAAAATCGCACAAGTGAAACATGCGGCCGGACTTCCTTCTAAACGTACGGATTAAGATCCAAAAGCGTGTAAAGCTGCTCTTTTCAGAGGCGTCGCCATTTTTCTACGCACGTTGGCCATCGCCTAGCGTAGGTCGCGGCGCCAACTCCCGCGGCCTATGGAGACTGCGACGTTGGGCGTCCGGCGTCTGTTTCTAAGACACTTCGGGGCGCTGGCTGTGGACTCCGGTGAAAGCACAGACGCCTCTGAAGACTGCTGTCCGCAGAATGATGTCCAGCCGGCACACCGCACAAGCGTGGCACTGAATGCCATGTCCGTGGTGTCGGACACGAAGCGAGTGATGTTCTCTGGCCGCCGCGTCGCACGAGTTACATATTATGCTCCTATTCCCATCGTGGTCAAGAATACAATAAATATTGTGGTTATCTCTTCCGTTGAATTTATTTCAATTCACACTTAAAAAAGCAAGCAGAAAACATCTAGGTCACGATAACTTGTCGACAAAGAGAGTAAGCCGTAAACATGAGGAAAAAAAACAGCACTTAGTCCGAGTCTAGAAACACGTCTGCTCTCTTGTTTGCAAAGATCACATGACTGCGTTTGGCAAATTCGTTTACGTTACGGAACGGCAGCACTGCCGTCCTACGTACCTACAAAGGACTTAACAAGATCTCGCCCTGCTCTCCTCATGAAATGGCTCCAAGAGAAGAGTCGCGCTGATTTGTCTCATAGTCTGCTTTCTTGATTTCATTCCTCAGCTTGTTTGACGGACTGTCCATCAGGATCACAATGTTCAGTGTTACACCAGATCACCATCAGGGGCCATGTTATGTGATCAGCGATCATACGATGTCCGCAGGTAAGCGTTGAATCAAAGTGATCTGTTACACCAGTTTGTTCAACCAAATCAGCACAACCGCTACTTCCAAACATCAATAAGGTTTGCAGTCATGGAAGTCGGACGAGCAGAAACACTACGCCCATGTGAGGTGACGTGACATTTGACC